GAGTGGCCAGATTATAGTTAAAGTCGACTACGTCATCGATAAATGACAACTCGCTTAATGTTTTTATTGCGCTAGACATTGACCAGTATATTTAATTGATTCGAATACTCATCGATTACAGTTATGAAAATAGAGTGATGGCATTGGATGGAAATATTTTATCCCACCACCGTCTTGTATTCTTCAAAACCATATTTTGTGAAGTGAATCTTTTTTGTATTAAGAATATGGTCTACTGTCGTGTTACACCTTAACTGCTCTATTGTTTCACCTTAGTCGAAAATGAATAGAATGGAAATTGAAAGGCATAAAGGAAAAGAAAAAGTAATTATCAATTGTCCCAAACCTAATAAATGATAATGAGTAACGTCAGTTTTGACAATAAATTCAACGGGCTGCTCACTTGAGATTTCTGGGATGTGTTGGCTGCTTCTGGTTTCACCTCCAAACAGGTATTGCCTGGGTGCAGTGAGCTATATTCCGTGATTGTTATTAGTGAGGACAAGGAATCAAAGCTGAGAACTTCTTTTGAACAACCTGAGTCGACGAAGAGCTTACCTACTACTACCCACTCGATTGAGTGCGTACACAACTGTGTGCTAGTGTGTCTCTCTCTGTCTGTGCGTGTGTAGTTTCACACGTATGTGTGCGTGTGATTTAGCAGCACCAACCAACTCATAGCACACCGGCTATTCTGAGTGGACATTCAAGGTCATTGTGTGTCAGAGATTCCGACCAATTAAATGCAGATCATATGGCACAGCGCTTCTCTCGCTTGCTGGTTCTCATCACCGCGTGTTTCACTCTCTCTCACACACACATGAACAGGGTAAAGGCTTAGCTTTGGGGATTCATTTGGTTAGACTGAAGCGTGTATGAAATTCATCTCAGGTTGTTGATGTCAACAGATCAGAAGAGTACAGTCTTTCACGCATCTCAATCGTACAAAACATGAAAAATCTCGTATTCCCTTTTCCTTCAGCATATACATTCAGGAATAGCCAGTTGGTCTGAGGTGGCAACATGTTCGTTTTGTGCCCTGACCTTTGCCTACTGCCCCAGAATTTCAAGATTCACTTGTGTTTAACACAGATTCACAGGAATCGCGATTATTTTTTTACTTGTGGTTATCCTAGAGTGTTTTATGCAGTTTGGCGATGAAGGAGTTATTTCGTGTACAGAGCAAATGAAACGTGAACGTAAAAGCATGGAAGCACTGTTTCGATTCGTACCGAACAGGTGATTTTGGAATGCTTTCAACCGAGTCGGAAACCTGGAGGTGAGCACTGAATTGAGGGAAGTGTGATTTCCGAAACAAGCTTGTAAAAACGGGTGGTTCTACGTGTATAAGGAAAATGACAAACTGTCTGGCTACCCGGCAATCGAGCGGGTAGTATTTTCGCATTCCACCTGTGAAGTCCCGGGTTCGACCCCTAATCAATTCAACTGTTTCACAATGCTGTTGAGACTTAATCAGATCGAAACAGCTGTACAGAGCGCTTCTCAGCTTTTACTCTGCACAAAAATGAATTCACCATATAATCGAATTGAATCCTTCTGATGTTCTCACATACCAGTATCACATACAATAAGAACACTACACGACAACCATGCTTGTTTGTAGGGACTCCTCACCCTAACGATGCATAAGTAGTAAGTGAAGATTTAAATCACAGATCATTTGACGCCACTTTCTTCTTGAGGCCATATGAAGCGTACGCAGTGCTCACAGTGATTTTTCACATTCATGCAATTATCGGAATTAATCGAGATGAAAGCAGTAGACCATAGAAGACAATCAGGCTACCATTTAGTTCACTGTTTTCATATTGACTAGTACTCTGAACCTGCATTGATTGTTGACTGCAAACCCAACGCAAGGGACTTAATGCCTTGGTTACGCTCAAGGTATTGTTTATTTCAGCTAGATGTGAAGCTCCCGCACTAATGATTGACCTAGTTATTCCGGTATACTTCCACGATGAGTGATAATCACAGATCCGTTCCGAAAACGGCCCCGGCTATACGGTATGAAGAACGAATAAACAGGCTTACACAGAATGAGATGCTAGTGTTTGGGTTCTTGTCATTCAGTCGTAAACATATGTGAATAAATATGGAACTTTACATCATATAAGATTTCGTTGATATCATCGGATACTCACAAATAAATTACCCCGTCGATGTTTCCTTTAAACGGTAAAGTAATGAAAAATCCCCATTGCACTGAATCACCTTGCTAACTTGTGTTATGAATGGCCATTGAGCAGATAATTCTGAAGGAACCTCCAGTGTGTCTTAACTACTAATCTCCTGAGACCTATTAGCTAGATAACACAACAAATTCTCTTTCATTTTCAACTGAGCAAAGCTGTGAAAATGGTTGTATTGGACCTTCCAAGTCGTTTTACCATGCACCCAACTTTGCACTGTGCTATCCGAAAGCCTCTATATGGTTTGTGGTGGGTTTCTTGGCTTATGGCTGGTCATCCTGCTGTTAGACCTCTCGAAGTGCTCCTACGCGACCAAGCATGCTATGCCTATGTTGAGGAAGGCCTCCCCACTGCCTTCCCATGAAAAAGGTCTTGTTCCACCAAACTGAGAGGAAGAAAAGCGATTATCTGGAGCTATTACCGGATTAGTAAGCCACAGGCAGTTCACCTTAGGGAGTTGGAAAAAACCCTGATTCCAAACCAGTAAAGAGGAGGCGTACGAACCAGGTACCTTCCTGGTTATTGCAGTTTTCATCGGCTC